CCCCGCCTTCAAGCGCACCGCCGGGACCGTGCCGTACCTGCTGCCCCCGGTCGACGGGCCGCGCGCGTGGGCAAGCGAGAAGCGCGGCTGGGTGGCGAGGACGCTCGGGGAGGCGTTCGAAGCGGCGGGCGACCATGCCACGGCGGCGCGCATGAAGCGGGTGGTGGCGGCGGGACAGTGGCCCCCGGCCGGCGGCCAGCGCGGTGGGAAGCGGAAGCGGAGAGACGACTGAGGCAGGCGTGCGGAGATGCTGAGAGGAACAGAGGATGCAGGGAGACAGAGAGATCCGGCCCCCCCCTTTTTGCTGCCGACGAGGACGAGTGTGTCCGTCCAGTGACCAGTCCTCCATCCCGCATGCCATCGCGTTTGGTTTGCGGACGGCTCCCACGCCGCGACCACCCCTGTTCCTCCACACCCCTCGCCGGTGTTCAGTGTTCGCTGTTTTATTTTGTGTGTGCGTGTGTCCCCGTGTGTGCTTCCTCAACTTCCATCGGCTTTTGAACGTGCGACGGTGTATCATTCACTTTACGATGCCACCGTTGCATATCCGGATATGCAACGGTGGCATAAAGTGAATGATACACCGTCGCAGGATATGCAACGGTGGCATAAAGTGAATGATACGGGGTGTGGAGGGTGAGTTGACAGGGTAGGCTCCGCCCCACTGTGATTCGGACTGAGCGACGGCAGGACCCTTTGAAATCATGAATGGCGGCGTCCGGTGAGGCCCCCACGGCCGGGGGTGGTAAGTGGGTGATAGGAGGGCCATAAACGACCATCACACCGGCCACCGGACCCCTCCACCCCCCCAAACACAGTCCAAACCGGCCCCGGCGGCCGGCGGGACGCACGCCGGCGCAGCACCATCAAGCTGCTGTACGGCCCCGGCATCGCCTCCCCAGAATTAGCTCTCAGTCAAGATATTGTGCACATGGGTGGCCTCTACAATATACTCACTGACACTGAACCTCCCAGAGCTCGTCCCGGTCCGTCACGGCCATCCTCGTCCTCCGCGGCGCCGGCTCCGGCCCCTCCGCCGCACTGTGATGAGCGTCGGCAGGACCCTTTGAAATCATAAATGGCGGCGTCTGGAGAGGCCCCCACGGCCGGGAGCGGTAAGTGGGTGATAGGAGGGTGATAACCGACCATCACACCGGCCACCGGACCACTCCACCCCCCCAAGCACAGTCCAAACCGGCCCCGGCGGCCGCCGTGCAGGAGGCCGCCGGGGCGCACCAAACGGCCCTTCACGGCCGCCATACGGGCCACCACGGCCCGTCCCGGTGGCACGGATGCCGCCGCGCACCCGCCCGACGCCCCCGGCCCGCCAGCTCCGCTCTGGGGG